AGCTTGTAAGCTGCGGGGAAGCACAGGGGCCCCCCCACCAAGCCCAAGACCTCTCCTCATGCAGCAGGGGGCCCTCGGGGGGATGGACCCCTGGGGGCCCCTTGGTTGGGGGGCCCCCCGGGGGCCCCCCAACCAAAAGCAGTTTCATCCGCCTCGGGTCTCTGCCTGATACAACAGGGTCTGGGGGGGCCCCCCGGGGGGCCCCCGGGTTCTTCTCACGAAAGCAAACGTCAGAGACGCTGGACGGGGTATATGACGGCACTTGCTGCTGCTGCTGCTGCTGCTGCTGCTGCTGTTGCTGCTGCTGATGTGCGGTGGTGCTGCTGGTGGTGTTGATGCTGGGGTTTTGCTGCTACTGTTTGTATTGCAGCTTTTCTATTTTGGTTTAGGGTTTAGGGTTTAGGGTTTAGGGTTAGTGAAGGGTTGTGTGGTCTGCCTAGTTGCTGCTGCTGAGCCTCTCTTGCTGCTGCTGCTGCTGCTGCTGCTGCTGTTGCTGCTGCAGCAGAAGTCAGTGGAGCGGGAGCACTCGCGGGGCGGCGTTGCAGCCCTCCCTCGGCTGGCTGGGGCTCGCTCTTGGAAGACGTTGCTCTTCAGCAAGGTGCCTAGGGTTTAGGGTTTAGGGTTTAGGGTTTAGGGTTTAGGGTTTGGGGTTTAGGGTTTGGGGTTTAGGGTTTAGGAGGATTTGTGTATTGGGTTTAGAATATAGTGTTTAGGGTTTATGTGTTATTATTTAGGGTTTATTCTCTCCTCATATCTCCATATCATATTCTCACAATCTAGGGTTTAGGGTTTAGGGTTTAGGGTTTAGGGTTTAGGGTTTAGGGTTTATGTATACAGGAGCGTTTCGGCAGCGGCAAAGCTCTCTTCCCCGCCGACTCTCATCACTCTTCAGTAGTATCAGCCTGGCGTTACGGCCGCACTCGTCGAACGAGCAGCCCCCCGGGGGGCCCCCCTCTCAGCTGTCTGGGTTGATAGCTTGCTGCCTGATTGGGATAGACAGAAGACGACGAC